ATATCATCACCACTTTAATCGCATGTATTGTTGGTTTTGCCCATGTTGTGTTGAATTGCCATTTACAAATGACTTCAAAACACTGCACTGTGGTTCTGCTTTGAATTAAGATGTCCCTGGGCCTACTGAAAGGAACAAAGCGGAGAAGCAGGGTATAGAGTTGTTATTAGCAGAACAGACATTTGCATTCATATTTTCTTGAAAACCAAGCAAATTCTGTATCGGACCAACAAAAGGAAGATAGCACCTGGGGGGAGAAGCTTGAAGACATTTTCTCACTGAGAACCGTGTGGGGAAAGCATGGACCGTGATGTCTCTGAGTCACAAGGTGATCCAGATGAGTTGGACTCTGAATCTGAAAAGACTTTTTAGGAATGGCTTACCAAATTTATTCTGCTAGATTTTCCTTTTCATGTATACCCAAGAGGGAAAATTATCCCCCCTGTCCACCTTATCTAAAATCAAGAGCTTTTTCAACCAATATAAATAGAATAATGTTAGGTGACAAGAAAACAATGCAGCATTTACTTGATACACCGTGTTTCCATTAGTGCATAATAAAAGAGTGAAGGTGCTTTCCTGAAGGAAGGAAGAAACAGGCTCACTGAACTCAGTGGAGTAGCTGGGATAAGAGAAGCTGCTCAGCAGTCAGAAACCCATGAGTAGAGAAGCTTCAGGTCAAGCACCTTCTATTTGTCATTGAATCTTATCTGTCCTTTCAAGGGTTCAATGGGCATCCTGGAACTAGGTGTACGTCTTCAGAATTGGGGCTGTAACAAGAAATTCTTCTCCAGGCAAAAGGAGAATCCAATGGTACCAGCCACGTGAGTCCCAAGGACCCCATTTAGACACGAGAACAGCCCCTCTCATGTGCTGCTCCTTTGCTGGGTACCTCACGGGTTTTCCTAACCCATTCAACAATCCTGGAAGAGTTCTACACCGTGGGAAAACATTTGGTTGGAAGATGGATGGATGGATTTTAATGTTTATGCCCTTGGACTTAGGAACTCATACACATGAAATTGTGAGTTTTCATTATGGTGAAAAATTGATGCAGCTAGCTATGGAACTCTAGGAATGTGGTTCAGTAAAGTATGGCACATCCGATACTTGCTGAAGTGTGAAACAGTCTTAATGCACACAAAAGCTATAGAACAATATAGGAAATGCTAGTGTAGCCAGTGAAAAATAAGGAAACATATGCAGTAAGCATATAATACACACATACATGCAAAATACATACATATAAAGTATATATTATCAAGGATGTAAAAATGCTTGTTGATGTGGGCCGGTGTTAAAAGGGAATAATGCAAAAGTAAGGGGAATTGTGTGAGGATGATGTGATTATGGGTGGGTGATGTTTGCATCCCCAAAACTTCTCTTCAGAATAAAAGAGCCAAGAAGAATAGATTTCCAAAGAAAACAACTCTGTAGCTGCAGTAATGGCTCAGGTGTATGGAGAATGGAACTTGTTTCCAGAACATAGCTAGAATTAATCACTATATATTTGGAAAACTGAGATGTTAAGGAGAAATCTGAGTTGTTTTTCTTCTCCTGATCCCCCACTTCTTGGAATTTGTAAATAGTTTATTTGCAAAGGGTGGGGGTGCAAAGATAGTAGATTCAGGGAAGCATTTGAAACTTTTTAAGCAAATGATGACAGTGTAAAAGGTGTTTTTTCAAACTTGCATTCATACAAAACATAGAATTGCTATGGTTTCTGAATAAATGTATTTTAAATATTTTCTAAATACAGTGCCGTTTCAGCCCTAACAATACTTGGCTAAGAAACTACAGTTCTGGGATAAGCCATAATTACTCTTTGGAAGATTATTGGGCTTAAAACAAGCAAACAAATGTACAAATGTGCTTGACACAATGGATGCATGTGTATATTGTAATAAGAGCTGTATGAGTCCCCAATAAAATAATTTTTTGAAAAAATTAAAAAAAACAACAGACAAACAAAAATGCCTACCTAAAGAGGCCGGAAGACAGGACCTTGACAACACTGTTTCATCTTGCATCTGGAATCACTTTTATACAACTCCGTTTTCCTCTCTTTCAAAGTACTACTGATTTGATTGCAGCCCAAAAGTGCATGGCATTAAAACCCACACACTTCAATGCCTGAAAATATTTCTTCTGATAAGCTTTGGTTAAGTTATACAAAGGACTTTTGCTATAGATATTTATTTTCACCTTTTTCTCATGCTTGTGTAAAATGTCTTTTTCTGAATGGTAACTTATTCTTTTTTAGCAGTTAATTTCAGGTTCTGAAATTCTAATTAAAACTCAAGGTCCCTAGTCAATTGCAACATGAAGTGCAGAGGCTGGAGACATTGCTCAGATTTGCTTCCATATCCGAGTGGGCCTTTTCTCCCGTCTATGTGTCAGGCTACACTTCTGGACATATTTATAAGTGGCCAGTTTTTTCCCTGGAATGTTGCACTCTTCCTGCTTCCTTCATTACATTAGGCAAGGTTCCACTCGATGAGACATTTTCAGTCTTAAGACTTCCTGCCGGGGTTCAGACTTTGTATTTTTGACATTGAAGCTGTTGTGTTCCCGAAGCTACTTAATTAGAAACACATTCATTTCAGTGCACGCTGGAAAAAGCTTGGACAGCAGAGCCAGGCACGCTGGGAAGTTTGAGCATTTGTGTCGCTGGCAGCTAAGCTAATGGTTTACAGTTTAAGGTGGGGGGGAATATCGTAGGGCATTTCCTCACCCAGAGAAGCGAAGAGAAGCCGAATGTGCACAGCAGATACCTTTATAAAATAAAAAAAATAACAAGAATGAAGAAGAATGAAAGGACAACTCTACTTTCCGTGCAGTTGTGTGTGTAGTTCTTTCTGTGGCTATTATTAGATACAAAAGTCTTCAAGAAGAACAGTTCCCAAACTGTGCTGCTAATATTCAAGTCTGGTTTACAGGCTTCCAAGATGCATCACTGCTGAGATCTGTAGTAAGGAGGACATATTATATTCTAGGGAAGGATTTGTGCTTGAAGAACTTTATTTGTTGAATGGTAATGAGGGAATTGTGCCCTTAGTTTTATATGTTTGAGCAACTTTAAAATGTAAATCCGATGTTTAAACACCTTCGTCTAGACATTACTTTCAGGATGACGTCTCAGTTCCTTAGTATTTAATAGGAAGCAACCCTTTCCTGCCTCATTCCTCACCACTCCTTGTTCTTCCAACCCTGGCCCCGAGAGAGCCATCTACTCCCATTCCTCAAGTGACTCAGGTGGCAAAGGTACCTGGTCACCCCAGGTAACTTTGCATCAAGTTCTGCCCCTCCCATAGGATGGATGTATCACATACTGGAGAGACATATAGAAAAGCTGGCAAATTCTTCCCTTTCTCCCATGCACACTTGCATGCACGTGTGCTCGTAATCTTGTCTGTGTGTGTATGTGTGCGTGTGTGCGTGCACGCACACACGCACAGAGAGATCATGTGGGAGGAAGCGCTGGATATTTTTGCCTTGGTATCATGAGGTCAGCAGGCACATGTTACCAACGAAAGGACCCTGTATTTGGAGTTAGCTTTACCACTTAAATATTTGACAAGTGCTTTAACTTCGTCAGCCTCATTTCGTCCTCTTTCTCTTTAAAATGGGGGTGATGATAACATGCACTGAGCCCTGATGGCGTCACAGTGGTTACACATTGGGCTGCAATCCGCAAGGTCAACAGTTCAAATCTACTAGCTGATCCACAGGAGAAAGATGAGGCCTTCTACTTCCATAGAGTTACAGTCTCAGAAACCTATAGGACCAGTTCTACCCTGTCCTGTTGTGTCACTGTGAGTCAAATGTCAGCTCGATGGTAGTGAATGAGAGTGCCAAGTAGCCAAATGGATTAGAAAAGATGCAGTTAAAGTTCCTTTTACAAAGCCTAGACCATTTGTCCTTGGTAGTAGCACTGTAAATACACATGCAGACACACACTTCTGAAACCAAAGGAGGACCATCCAGAATGGCCATGTTTTACCCTCCAAGTCTGGAACTGAGCTCACCCTTGTGGCTCAACTCTCAGCCAAACGATTGGCCGTACACCAGGGAGGGACACACTCATTACAGCTGTCAACCACTCGAGACCCAAAGGACCACATTTGCCCAGGGATAAAACTCAGAAGGCTGGGAGGGATAGGAAAGAGAAATGAAGGGGGCGTGCTGCTATGTTGTGGAAGTGGCCATCCATGCCTAGGAAAAAGGACGACTCGCATATGAATTGTTGAGTAGAAAACCAAGGTGTTCTGTAAGCTCCTGCCCAAACCACATTAAAAAACAAACAAATCAAACAAAGGCCCTAGTTTTTAAAAACTTTGGAGGTAGGTTCTCAGTCGCTGCTCACACACGCCCTTGGAGTCTGCGCCCAGTGAATGACGCGTTTGGAAGAGGATATCTGAGTTGCGTGTGGTCATATGGCATGTGTGCTTTGGGGGAGGAGATGCTTGTTGGCAGTCCTCTCCAAGTACCTTGTCCGAGCCAGATAGACAGAGCTGGTCTCTTGGTGGGTGAAGGAAAGAGCAGCTACAGAGTCCCTCTTCTCCGAGGCAAGTTGTTATGCTCACGGTTGGACCCTGCTGATGCCGTTCTTTGCTGTGATCACGGCACTAAGCAGTTTCGTTTGTACCAGGGACTGTACTAGTCATCGGATGCCAATTTCCTCTTCACTCTGATTATCAATCTTCCAATGAGGCGCCAGTATTGCATGTTAAAGGTAAACGGAGCTGAGGCTCTGCCCCCAAGGTTGGACGCTCCTCTCAGCACCCCATGCTGCTGCCCATGCCTGCCCACCTTTTAAAATCCATCTGAAGTCGCTAGGCTTCGGAACCAAATGTCATATTAGGTTTTCTGTTATGAGGGGAAATGTAACTGGGTGTAGATTTATTAAAGCCGTTTTTCTCCAAATAGTGAACCATCTGTAATTTCTGTTGGAAACCACAGACATTAAAGCAGCTGTGTGTCTCTGTTTCTCTTCACAGTGCTCCCATGCCCTACCTCATAGGAATCCATTTAAGTTTAATGGAGGTAAGTCGCCTTCTCTCCTCCCCACATCTCTCTGCTTGGGATTTCGGTGCATTCCCATCCATGCTAAAGACCCACCCCCAGAAGCATAACCCTTCATCCCGGAGGGTGGAGCAGCCAAGCCGCCCAGTCCTTCCCCATCCCAGCACCCTCACAGCATTGAGCCTTCCTCTCTGACTCTTTCCACTGGGCTCTTGTTTTTTTGTTTCCAGTGATTTTCCACTTTGCTTGGAAATTGGAGCTGGTCAGTTCCAGGGGGTTGGGGGGGCAGGGTTGGGGAGCAGGGTAGAGGAGACAGGAGGGAAGGGTTCTTCAGGGGTTTGAATGAGGTAAGGGAAATGATTCACTTTGTGAAATGATGCTTATTATAAATTGTAATAAAAGTATTCTTTTTTATTTGTAGAAAAATAGGTTTTCCTTTTTTAAGTATTCAGAAGGGTAAAGAAGGAAATTCAAAGCTCTCCACAGTGCAGCTGTCCAGATTCCCCCATTGTTAGCATTTGGCTGGTCTTGCTCCTTGACCCAGAGTTTCCGTGGATGAATCTGTGGTTTTGTATACATGTACATAATGGATGTTATCTATGTGCAGAGTATACATTTTGTATGTATCTGTGATACCTGTTGTAGTCTTTCATTCACCTAACGTGGCTCAGGGGTTTCTACACGTCGTTTGTCTTCTCTCAGTAACACATTTTTATGTGCTACAGATCATTCTGGTTTGGGGGGGATATACCACAACTTAACCATTTTCCTGTTGTTGGACACTTAGTTGTTTGTTGCTTTTCAGTGAACGTCTTTATGCGTTAAACTCTGCCTGCATTTTTGGCCTTCACACAGGTGCCCTGAAAGTGAAAGTGCTTGGTCAGAGCAAGGACTCTGATGGCAGATTGCTTTGTGCATGACTGTGCCAATTAGAGAGCAATCCTTTTAAAGCCCTAATCTGTGCTTTTGTAAGTGCCATTAGTTTGCACCAAGTTAGACATGCACCCTCAGCCTCTCCCTGCGCAGGAGAGAGCTTAAATTTGCACTAGAGCAGGGTTGGGAAGGGGAGGGGAGCTTGCCTGTTTTTCAGAGGAGATAAGCTCTCAGAGGGAAAATCTAAAACCATGCCTGTCTGGGCGGAGGCTTTGCATGTCTTAAAGGAAGTGCTACTTCTCTTCTTCTGTTCCCTTCATTTCACATCGACGAGGACCACCTGCTTCTTCACTATCTGTTGCTCACTGTGCTATTGTGCTTACAAAAATGAAGCAAGTTGGTTATCGAAAAACCTGTTTGTTTGACATTGAGAATCTTGATCAAAATAGACCACAGAAATCTGCTCAAATTTCTAATTTGACAGGACGGCCATGTGGCTCCTACATTCTGTTAACAGTTCCTCCCTGTCATCACCCAGCCCTAAGCACATACAGTACACAGTTTATGGACTATCTTGGAGGATGCATTTAGATCAGATTGAAGAGATTTCTTCTGTGTTTTACCTTTGTTTGTCAAGTTTGGGGTTGTATTCAAAGCGGCTGTATGAAATATTAAATTTTTTTAAAGTGACTAAGTGCCAACGATTGCAGAGTTTCCTCTCTCCTGCCTCTCTTCCCACCTTCTGGACTGCTCCAGTGCAGGCTTCTTCCAGCTCTTTCATTTCGTGCCTTTGTAGCTTCAGTACTCTCCAAGTTCCCAGGCTTGGCTTTCTTTTCTTCTCTGCACGCTCTCTAGTTGCTCCACTTGCAGCATTTGCCTTACCTATCAAGTTGATGGCAGTGCTTCTCGGCTGTGATTCGAACACTGGCTTGCCTCCCTCTGAACTTCGGGTCCCAATTATCCCATGCCTGTAGAATGCCACTGAGATGAACTACAGATGTCTCAAATTCAGTCTTCCCCAAACAATGGATTGTCTACACCGAGCCCCTCCCCCTGCCGCCACCACCCCTAGGATTCCCAGTCCCTGTAGATGGCACCTTTGCCTGCAATGACACCAACCAAACTGGGGTGCACTGAGCATGGCTGAGTGACCCCTCCTCGTCTCTCTAGAGAGTCACTGAGTCTCTGAACTGTCTCTCGCCATATTCCTTCCCTGCTGTCTGCCTTGACACTTTTCTTTGTTCCCTTAGATGCTTATAAAGCACCCCTCCCTTTCATCTAGTAAGCAAAACAAAATCCCCTTCAGTTCCAAGCATTTTGCTAAGTTTGAGGGGCAAGCAGATGATTTGGAAGTTCAGTCCATCATCCCTCCTTTTAGCACCTCCTTATCTGGTCTTTCTCCTTGCAGTCGCCTGCCCTCCAACCCCCTTTTGCATGGCCCCTGAGTTCTGCACAGTCTCCATGGCTATGAAGCCTTTGCCCTGTCTAGGTCCCTTCTGAGCCAGTGCTCTCCTGGTCCCTAAACATAGCCACACTCCCACTCTGCCAGGAGCCCTGCCCTCCTCTTCCTCTTCCAAGCAGTCTCCTATTTTGTGCTGTTCCTGCGCTTACCTCTGCTGCTTGCTCTGGATGGTTGCTGTGTGCTTTCAGTCCCTCTCCTTCATCCCGTGGAGCACGAGCTCTTTGGAAACAAGGCCTGTGCCTCATTCACTGTGGTATTCCCAGGCTGCTCAAGCTGGCAGTAGCATCTGAAAATTGGGCGGAGTGAGTATTTGCAATGCATCTAGGGCCCCTTTAGCAGACAACCCTGTTGTCAAGGAACCTGGCATTAACATTTCACTTTTTAAAAATGGGAGCAATCGATCATTTACTTCTTTTTATAAGACTCTAAGGAATGCTGATGGTGCAACTGCTTGGACACTCGGCTGATAACCTAGTTTGAACCCCTCCAGCTGCTCCCCGGAGGCAGGCCTCACATGCTGTTTCCAAAAGAAATGTGAGCCCAAAAAAGATCAGAGAGGGCATTTCTGCTCTGCCACAGGGGGTCGCTGCGAGTGCAAACCGACTCTCTGAGCACCTGGCATCAACAGTATAATTCTAAGTAATATGGAACAAGGCCTTTTGTAGAGAGTCATGCAATGCAGCACCCGAGTGCACTTTGAAGCTCAAACCTGAGACCGAGTTTGACTTTAGGCGAGCAGGTACACATCCGCTCACACCACCCTTTAGAGCGCCTTTACATGAGAAGGCTTGGGAAGCACTGGCCAAGACCAATCAAGGCCCTGATGATTGACTGGGTTGGGAAGGAGTCTGGCTGCCTGTGCTGAACTCCTTTGTGTGATCACCAAGAAGAACCAAAATAGTCACCGCCCCACTCTTGGAGCCCACCAAGGCGCTTTCTAAACAAAGAAGTGTTTCTGGGCAGCCGGGAACTAGCACATCTTGGAACTGAAGTCTCCTAATCTTCTCCCACAGATCTCAGCTGAGACTGAGATGACCCTGGTCATGCTTTCTCATGGGGCTTATCTAATTCTCTCAGCCTTTCGGGTGAAAGAGCAGTGTCCCCTGAAGTCCCCTGAGGCCCTCTGAGTTGTGCTGCTTGGGGGGAGGAGTGTTTTCTAACCCAAAGGAAAGCTCCTTAAGGAAAGAGCTCAGGCAAGCCCATCTCCCCTCACACACTAGTTTTCGTACTGGCAATTCAGCAAAAGGCTTATTTTTTACTGTCTTGTTATTTCTCTTGAAAGCTATAGGCACCTTATTATGCCTTTGCATATGTGCCAGAATTTTTTAAACTTCAAATGAATGTGGCAGATGTTCATAAAAGTTTAGAAAAAGCTACCATAGGAAGACTTTTTAACCATTTTTATGACACTCAAATTTGTTACACAAAAGAAAGTAGAAATTATAGCCTTGTGTTCTCATTGGGGGAGTAAAAAGGTTGTTTTAGGGGAAAGACCTAATTTTTAGTCTTCGTATTTCTATAGGGTCTTGTTGGCGTTTGTTAAACGGTAACCTTGTCACTTGGAAGAGTTCACCTTTGTTCTCCTAAAATGCGACATTAAAGCTGGTGGTTATTTTTCTCTCCTGCAATTTTAAATCCCAACCTCCCCCCTCCATTTAAACAAACATTAATTTGAGGCTAGTGGCAAGTTAGCAGAATGGCTGAGAGTGTTGGCATAGACCTAGCTTCTGCTTGGAGAGAATGATGGCGTTTGCTGCACCTTGGCAATCCCCAAACATGGCCAGATCACCCAGTGATGGTTGCCTTGTACTCACGCTGCTTCCGTTTAGGGAACAGGTGCCAGGTCAGGAGGGTATTTCTCCTATTTGATACAATACAGGAAGACCACTTTCTCTGCTCCTCACAAAGGAGGTTTTGTGTACAGACCTCTATAACACAAAGCATGTATCCAGAAGGAATTACGCATCCTTCCTGGTAGAAGGCTGGTCAGTAAGGCAAGAGGAAGGGCAGGGCAATGACAATGACACCGATCTTAAAAGCAGCTCAGATTAATATATGAATAAAGCTGCACCTGTACACAGGGGCAGTGAGGTATAGAGGATAGGATGCTGGTTTTGGATGCTGGTCCCCCTGCTTCCTACTTTTAAGTCTTTAGAGATGTGGTTCCCTCTCCCCCTGGTTTCCCTCTCATCTCTCTTGTCAGGTGTCAGTGTAGACATTCCGTGCTCTGAGAAGAATATCTCTCAAGGCTAGCTTGGATCTCTCTCCCATCAGAGCCTGTGTGCCTATGTGCTCTCGGACCAGCTGCTTGACTTCTGAGCCTGCCTCTTCTCACCTGTCAAGTAGAGGTGATGGCCACACCTGCCTGTCTATTATGGCTTCTTAGGAGGATACAGTGAGATCGTGCACTCAATCAAATGCATGGCACTCAAATGCCCACAGTCATAGCTGCTATTATTTCCTCAATGCCTTAAAACCATTCACATGGTTCCGTCGATGGCTTCCGAACCCTTATGTTCCAAGAATCATGATCCTCGTTCTCGAGAGGGGATTCCAACAAAACTGGGTGTGGCTGCCACATTTTCTCTGGATCTTCTATGCCAGGTAGAGGTGCTGAACCAGACTTGAGAATGACCCTTCTATAAAATATGAATGCATTTTCAAACCCTTGCTGTCTCCCCTACTT